CCGCCCCCTGAGGTTTCGATGTACTTGGACGGCCGCCAGGTCTGCTCGATCCCTGCGGGCTGGTTTCACGACAGGCTTGACGCCGTGAAGCTGATGATCACGATCGGCGAGGAGTTCGTGGCGAAGAAGGTCGAGAAGGACGACCTGTATCCCAAGCGCGACGAGCTGTTCGCCAAGGTGATTGCGGTATAGCAAATCAAATATTAGGGACGTGGCTCCTAGGAGAAAGGACGAGGATGAGGAGTGGGACGAGGGTGAGGGGGGGGGGAGCGAGGGGGGGAGCAGGAGGAGGAATGGTAATTCGCAACAGTGAGAAAATAAAGTTTAACCTTGAGACAAAGCAACAAATAAAAACAATACGAAACAAACAATAAGTGAACGTGAGAAACACAACACGTAAAACAACACGTAACAACACAACGTAAACACAATACGTTATAAAAACAACAATACGTAAATCACTACGTAAAAACACGACGTAAAACACTACGTAAAAAAACAATAAATCCTACTCTTGCTCCCCGTCGTCTGCCCAGGTGCCAGACTCGAAGAAAGTCGACGTCGAGGAGAAGGCCCCGCTTAGGAAGAGGCCCGCGGCTGCTGCTGCCGACAACCGTGATCTCAAGAAGAGGCCCAGCGCTTTCGTCGACGACGACGACCCCGAGGAGACCGATGGGGCTGTAGTAGAGGCGCCTCCGCTATCGATGATGGAGGAGGCCCGCGACTGGGCTTCCAAACAGGAAGAGCACCTAAGCTGTATGTAGGATCCGTTCAGTGCGAGCTCGAGACCGCCAGCCCCTTGACCGAACACCGAGGGCGAGATCCCACTCCCTCCTCACCCTCCTACTCCGACCCTCCCTCCCCCTCATCCTCCTCCGCATTCTCCGTTCCGAAAAATCTTCAGCAACGCTGCAATCGCTTCGATCCGTCCTGACCTGGGGCCTTGTCTTGGGAACGGGGCTAGGGCGTCTCACAGACTTTCGCACTCCCACGTTGCCCGTGCTCTTGCTCCTGTTCGTGCTCCTCCGCCTTTCTTACTCCTACTCCGACTCGGTCTTCCTACTCATCTTAACTATTCGCATCTCCCCGATGGTCACTACCGACTACCAAATCATCCTCCAATATCTCCTCCTGATCACCGCTCTCCCCCTCAAACATGTCATTCCGTAGCCAGTTTGGGCTCGAATTTTGTGGCAATTTCACAACTGCCTTTGTTCCTGCAAAGCGCTCTCGACCTCGCGATGGGCGTCCTGTGCAACGAGCCTGACAATGTCGACATCTGCCCACAGGCCCTTGAGAATCTCAAGCTTCTCATGCAGAAGATCAAAGACGCTGAAGTGAGTGAAGACGGCAAGCTGGACACGGATGGTGTCCTTCAGGCAATCGTAGAGACCGCGACGGAGTCGAAGGCGTTCTCCAAAACCATTAGCGACGCCATGATGGCCAATGTCGAGGATCAGGAGGGCGTCAACTGGCCAGCCACCCGCGAAGGCAAGTTCGGGAAGGATCTGAAGTTCGCTCTTGCCCAATCCGAGATTGACCCGAGAGGAAACGTCGCACAGAAAATGATGAGTAGTTTGAGTAAGGAGGAGAAAGCAGAGTTCAAGAAGAAGCCCAACCCAGAGAAGATTGCGCACCGCAAGGATTGGGCCGAGAAGCAGTTCAAACCATTGGTCGAGAAGTACAGCCAAGTTCACGACTGGAACGTCGAGGACATCGAGATCGGGGAGTACTTGCCCTTCCCCTGTGTCGTGGAGAAGGAGGGCGGGTTCCATCTGCAGGAGAACATCAAGGCCGCCTTCAAGTACGCGGAGCAGTGCATGCTCATGAAGGGCAAATGGATCAGATACAACGACATGACCGAGCGCGTGGAGATGTTGTACGTCAGGAAGATCCACAAGGAGACGTTCGCTAAGAAGTGGCGCAAATACGTGGAGATGAAGGTCACTGCCAAAACGGGGACGACGGAGCCGCAGACAGAGACGCCAGACTCGGGCTCAAAGAAGCGCCCCGCTCCAACATTAAAGGGGGGAGCCAGCAAGAAGGTGAAGGCCGATGCGCCGAAGTCCCTCAACGCTCAAGCTACTGCGGTCTTGGGAGAGTACAACGAAGTCCTGTCCCGCGCAATGAACGCCGTGCGCAAGGTGCAGGCCATGTCTCCAGAGTGGGAGTTCGCCAAAGAGTCGGTTTGGCTCAGGGAGCTGGAGACGGCCTTTGCCGCTCTGAACGAGAAGGCTGACAGCCAGGAGTTCATCCTCACGAAGGGTGTGGCTGCAGCATCCAAGCTTGAGAAGTACAAGACGGACGAGAGCCTCTGGATCGTCGATTGCAAGAATTTCGTGGAGATGAAGACGGAGGTCGATAATCTTCGCGAGGCCGTGGATCAGCTTCATCGGATTAAGGATGCTCAGACGAAGCCCAACGCCCAGCTGAAGCCTGTCAAGACCGAGTGTTAAGCACCAGATCTCGAGTGCCGCTCTCGTGCCTAGTGCGAGGTTCATCACCGAGTGTTGAGCGCCGAGTGCGAGGTTCATCGCGCATAGTGCGTGCTGTTTGTTTCTTCTTGCTGCCCCACGGCTTCCCGAAGTGCAATGGCACGGGAATTCGAGGAGGATGGAATAATATGACGAGAATGAGAAGGAGGAGGAGGAGGAGGAAGAGAAGGGAGGAGGAGGAGGAGGAGGAGGAGAAAGAGGAGGAGAGGAGGAGGAGGAGGAGGAGGAGGAGGAGGAGAGGACAAGCTAGGTGCGCTCGCGTCATACCTGACGCCCGCCCCCCCCCCATCCCTTACCATGGCGCTGATTTTCTCTATCCGCGGACGCGTGTCGTAGCGGACCTGCGGCTCCGCGCGCGCGTGCGTAGTGGGTGGTGGTGCGCGTGCGTGCGTGCGTGCGTGCGTGGGTGCGTGGTTGTGGTGGTGGTGGTGGTGGTGGTGGTGGTGGTGGTGGTGGTGGTGGTGGTGGTGGTGGTGGTGGTGGTGGTGCTGGTGGTGGTGGTGGTGGTGGTGGTGGTGTGGCCTGGGCGGTGTGGCGTGGGGTGCGGTGGTGGTGGTGGTGGTGGTGGTGGTGGTGCGGCGCGGTGGTGGCGGGCGGATGGGCGCGCGAGAAAGAGGCCCGCGCTGGGGCGAGAACGCCATCCTGAACGACGGAGGCCAAACACCGATCCGAAAATGAGGCCCACGCTGCAGCGGGAGCACGATTCGGAACGATTCGGGAGCAGAAATGAGGCCGGCGCCTCAGCGAGAGCAGCATTTTAGTGATTATATATATATATATATATATATATAATAATAAACATAAAAAAAAAAAAAAAAAAAAAAAAAAATTCCGGGGAATCCTGCGTGTAAAAAAACAGTACGCGGGGGGGTGCCGAATATCTTCCGGACGCCATCAGGGGAAGTGGGAGAGTATTTTCATATTGTGCAATTGTGGAGGAGGAGGAGGAGGAGGAGGAGGAGGAGGAGGAAGGGAGGGAGGAGGAGGGGGAGGAGCACGGGGATAAACAGCCAGGATGAGGGAGGAGGGGGGCGATTGGGAGGAGGAGGGGGAGGACGTGGGCAGCATATGCCATGTCAGAGCGCATCGTGGTCAATCATGGGCGCCAACTTCGCATCAACGATGCATGTCGATCTGACAATTTAGTTGAGCAACAAGTGCGGTGGTAACTCAACTGCCCATCTCAACGCCTCTCTCCCCCTCGGGGATCCCCATTCTTGCGCCCCCTCCCCCTCCTCCTCCTCTGGCCTCTGGAGCACCCTCAGCCCTCCCCACCTCGTCTCCAACTCCCCAAACGGCCCCCGCGCCCTCGAACCCCCCTCCCCCCGAGGCCAAACCAACGTCGGGGCAAGAAAAACCTAGGAAATCAGGAAACCCCAGGGCCCAGGAAACCACGAAAAAAAACAATGAAAAAACCATGAAAAAAACAATGAATCTCTATTTTGCATACAAAAACACCAGAAAAGGGCAGATTTCATGAAAACCTGAAACCATGAAAAATCCATGAAAAAACATGAAAATCCATGAAACTGGGGACCCCTGGGGCCGGTTGCGTTCGAACCGGTTCGAGCCGGTGTTTTCGCCGATTTTGGTCCGTCCCCAGTTTTTTTGGCTCGAGGTTCTTCTGAAACCAAGGTTTCGCACCAGCGTCCATGACCAAACTTCGCACGTGCTTCATATGCCTAGGCAGACACCCTGAGAGCCAGCGTTTTGTTCACAAGAGGTGTTGCAAGAGGTACTACAGCCAGCAATTGTCAACCCAAAAATGCAGGATCGCTATCAGAGATGGCATCAACGTGAGGTATGCAGTCGCCGGTGCTTCCAAGTCCTTGGTGAAATCCGTGAAGGAAACGTTTGTGCACTGCAAGTCGGCCAGTGCATGCCCGAGTTCCTGCAGGCCGACCCACCAGGGCCTCATCTACCCGATTGGCCGTCTGCCAAACATGGAGATGGCAGCCCTGACAGATTATGCCAAGCACTGGTGCAAGGACATTTTCAGCAAGGGCTTCGAGGACTTCATCGTGGATCTCTCGGAGCTCCCCTTGACACCAGTGGCTGGTGCGAACACCCACATCAAGGACTTCCCCAACGACGTCGTGGGCTTCGACAGCAACACAACGGTCCACTCCAGCTTGGACTACAGCAGTCGCGTCTACCAGCCCTTTCACCCGCCTCCTTCGCAGGTTAATCGGGATAGAATCTAAGAGTAAGACCCACCCACCACCCACCCACCCCCCACCCACCGACCACCCACAACCCACCACCCACCCACCACCCACTTCCACCACCCACTTCCACCACCCACCCACCACCCACCCACCACCCACCCACCACCCGCCACCCACCACCCACCACCCACCCACCACCCACCACCCACCACCCACCCACCACCCACCACCCACCCACCACGCATCCTCGCCCCCTCCAAAAAAAAACAGAAAAGTGGAGGAGGAGAGGGTACCCTCTCCTCCTCCACTTTTCTGTTTTTTTTGTATCGCCCCTCAGGTGTGCCACTTTATCGGTGCCTCCGTGTACGAGAGCTGCAGGTACAAGTGTGAGACATGCCGCGAGCTCGGTTGCCACAGGTGCGACAATTGTTGCCTCAATTTCAACTCCAGCTCCACTTCGATTACTTGCGGTATCTTGCATCAGAAATGCAAGCAGGTGAGCCAGGAGAGAGCGTATCTGATCATGGGCGATGAGTCGTGGCCTATCGAGGGTGGGATTCGCTACGTGGTCGATGCGAAGACTACGCTGTTCGGCGTGTGGTCCGCGTGCTCTGTCCAGACCCCCCGCTCGCAATGGTTGGGCCTGGAGTTTGTGGGGATTGCGTGAGTGGTGAGGTTCTCTGAGCGTGTGCATGAGTTTGAATTTCGGGCCCAGCGCCCACGCGAGAGCTCCACCGTGGTTGCGCACGAGTTGCTCCAGCAATTTCGCCTGAAAGCGTGGCACACAACGGATATAGCCCAGGAATGAACATCTCAAAAACAAAAACAAAACGAAAAACATAACATCGTACCAGTTGTGATCGTTGAACATGGCGTTGCGTTGTAGCGTCGCACTAGTAGCCATTTGGGCTCAATACATGAGCGCGCACACATATCACGCGTGGGAACATTTTCAAACTCATGCATGGGGAAAAAACGACTACAGCTTAAAATGGGAGAGCGATTCCGATTCAGATGAGCAAACAGAAAACTTGTCACAATCCGCTGCTGGTGAATTGTTTGCGGAAATGTTGGTGGATCTACGACTGCATGGAAAAATATCATCCAAGACATGCTGTGCGCTTGCTTATTGGGCCAGCAAAGCTGGCGCATGTGGGCCTTGCGGTAAACTCGCTTTGTCGCCAGAGAGCCAATCGGGGCATTTCCAGCGGAAGTTCGATTCGTACCTCAAACTACCAGGTTGCAAACAGAAGTTTTATTTGATGGACGTTCATGGGCATTCGAAATACGAAGCTGCCAGGACCAAACACGAGACGCCATGCACACCGCCCCACGAGGCTTTATACGAAGAGGTGCTCGAGCGACCAGAGATACTTCAGGAACTTCACGCAAGCATCAAAAATAAAGAATGGGCTGACAATTACCTCAAACATCCAGTCGTGCGCTCTAGCCCACCAAACACAGTGCTACCCTTGGCGCTCTACCTGGACGGCGTGCCGTTCAATGAACACGACGGCTTTCTGGGAATATGGGTATGCAACTTGCTCGCAGAAAAAAAAAAAGACATATATGCATGGCCGTGCGGAAATCGTTCATGTGCGCTTGTGGCTGCAGGAAGTGGTGGTCTTTACATTGTTTGTTCTCGACATTAGACTGGTCGTTGCAGGCCCTCGCCAAAGGGCTGATGCCCACATGCCGACACGATGGCCAAGATTGGATGGACTCAGACTTTCCAGAGAGTCCGAAGCTGGCAACTCAATTGTCAGAGGTGCGGTTGTGTTATTAAAGGGTGATTGGAGCGAGTTCGCAGTTAGCTTGGGGCTCCCTTCGTGGTCAAGCGCGGATGTCCCATGCACGAGCAGCGGGGCGCGACGGCAGATAATTGGCCATGGGAATTGAAGACAACAGAAAAATATTTGGATAATTGCAAGCTCGGTGAGATTTGGGCCACAATCGATACTAAAGCCGTGCACTCTGCAGTGATGGCGTCGCTCAGGTACGACAAACGAAAACGGCAAGCTCAATTTGGCGGTCGTGGCAGGGCCTTAATACGTCCAGTGGAGGCCTTGGGATTGCGAGTAGGCGATCGCCTTGAACCAAGCGATGAGTTGCATGACGTCGGCGATTTCAGTCTGATAGATTCATTTCCATGTAGAGTTCTTTTTTGGAGATGGCACCCTGGTCTGTGGACGCATCACAGGAAGCCGTTGTTCTCCTTGTTTACAGGTGTAGGTATCGACGTACTTGCTATAGATCCTTGACATACATTGAACTTGGGAATATACCAGAGATACTGCGCAGCGGTGCTATGGACTTTGGCGTCGCGCGACGCTTTCAAAATTTCTGACGGGCAAGGTGGCAGAACAAACAAGGAAGAACTGGTGGAAAACTCTTGCTTGATCATACGAACCGAACTCATGAACTGGCACAGCGCTCAAACCACCATTGACCCCGAGTATCGGTTTTCGAAGATATCAGATTGGACGTCTCACAGCATGGGCGAGGAGTACAGATATATGGTGCGAACAAAAGCTGCCGAATGCAGACAACTTGTTCGATTTTGCCGTCACTTGCTTGACAAGTACCAGCTGCCAGCCGATAAAACAGGCTTGGAAAAAAAAAAAGCAGGGGACGCCTTACTAAAACTCATGGTTATACTCAGGAACGATACAAGACCAATGCGAACACTCGAAGTGCAGGAACGGGGCATTCCCCTCCTCCGCTTCTTCTCCTCCTCCTCCTCCTCCTCCTCCTCCTCCTCCTCCTCTCCTTTCTCCTCATCATCTCCCTCCTCCTCCTCGTCGTCCTCCTCCCCCCTCCTCTCCGCTCCTCCTCCTCCCCTCCTCCTCTGGCGTCCTTTGTTTTTTTTTCGATCCTGAGGATATGCTCGGTTGCCTAAAGTTGTTCAACAGGTACATGGCTGGGTGTAAATGCGACCCTCTACCGAAGCAACATCTGGGCCTACACATGGCCTGGAGGACACAGGGGGGGGGGGGGGGGAACGCGATCGAGTGGGGCGCGATTTGTTGACGCCCACCGCAGCCCTAGGGTCCGAAACGAACTCGGGACACCATGGGACGCCGCTGGATTCTTTGCGATCCTCTCCCCCAGGAGCAAATTCATGGGGAGGCCGAGCAAACAGGCAACCTTCACGGACGAGAGCGCCAATGGCACTGCAGCTGATATTGCAGCAACACTGCACAGATCAACTTGGTCGTACCATGTCTTCGCGTTTTGGTCAAAAGTGATCGGCAAGCCTGGGAAGCGAGCGCTCGGTGATTGATCGAGACACTGGTTTGTATAGTGATACCAGTGTCCGCCTCCCCCCCTCGATCTACCTACTTCCTATCATTAATGATCTCCCTTCGCCCCCTCTAGCTCCTCCGCGCGGGTTCCGCGCTCACGGCGGCACGGGGCCCGCCGCCGACGCCAAGCATTGCCAAGCATTGCGTCCGATCGAAGATATTTGTTCTTCTTTCGCCTTCCTCCTCTCCCACCCTCCTCCTCCCTCCGCGTCTTTGTCGTGGATCCACGACAAAGACGGCGGCGGTGGTGACGGCGGCGGCGACGAGGGGCACCTCGGCCCACCCGCGCCCCGCGGCTACGTGCTGACCACCTCCCCGACGCAGGAGCGCGAGCCAGAACCCGCGGGCGGGGAGAGGAGGGCGAGGAGACGAACGAGACTGAGGAGGAGAAGAGAAGGAAGAGAAGGAGGAGGAGGAGGAGGAGGAGGAGGAGGAGGAGGAGGAGGAGGGAGGTGCAGGGGAGGAGGAGGAGGGAGGACCTCCCTCCTCCCCCTCCTCCCTCCCTCCCTCCTTCTTGTCCTCTCGCGTAGCCATTTTGGCTCAAGACATCCACTGCGGCATCCGCTGCGGTACCATTTTGGCTCAAGCCGTTTTGGCTGATCATGCGCTACTCGCATGCATATAGATCTCACTTCTTATTTTAAGAAGCGAAACTCCGCTTCTGATCTTTAAGAAGCGAAGGACCTCCAGGTTTCTTCGGCGGCGGCCGCGGCGGTGGTCCAGGTGGCGATTTCGGCCGATGGGGCCCCTTCTTCGGCGGCGGCCGCGGCGGTGGTCCAGGCGGTGACTTCGGCCGATGGGCCGCCCAATTGAATCGATCCGGTCGTCGATGCATCAGCGATGCATCAGCGACGCGCCCGCTGCCCAGCGCCCCAGGATCCCAGGGCCCAGGAGATGCGCGCGCTACCGTACTACATGTTCAACTCACCTCACCCACTTCAACCAGTTTGGGCGGCCTGGATTGTTCTTTCTCATCGTCGGCCTCTCTGTCTGCCACCGCCGCTTCGCCTCGTTCCAGTACTCCCGCACCATTCCCAGGAACCGCTGGACCCGGAGTCGGACGACGAGCTCCGGTCGGGGCTCTTGGGCCGCCCGGGCCTACGCCAATCCCTGGGGCCCCACGACCGGGAACGCGGCCCCAGGAGCCCCACGACCACCAGTCGTGGCCCCAAGAGTCCCACGATGACCACCGGGTCCAGCTCCTGCTTCTGCTTCTGCTTCTGCTAATGCTGGCGCTGGTGCTGGGGTGCCTTTTCCTCCCCTGCGCCCTAATCCTGGAGCGGCCCCTCGTGCTGCAGGCTCGGGGGATGCCACTCCGACACCAACGAGCTAGTTACATCATGGGCCTTGGGTTGGTGACAAACGCACTTCAGGCTTGGCCTTGGACGCGATTCCACCAACCTAAGCAGCGCCGGGATGTACACGAGCTAGTCTGATGTTGGTCTACAGCTGGCACCCCCTCCGCCTGGTCTTACTGCGGCAGAGGCGGTCCGTGGCCATTGGACGCGCCCAGCGGCTGGCGCCGCGCGTCGCGACGCCTCGCCCCGACCGCCATTTCTGCAAGCGGCGGCGCGGCGCCCCTCCTCTTCCCCTCCTTTCCCGCTCCTCCCCCTCCTCCCCTTCTCCTCCTCTCCTTTGCTCGTTCTTCTCATCCGACCCTCCTCCTTGGTGTTTCTCCTCTCCCTGGCTCGGTTCTGCTCGTTCTTCTCCTCCTCTTCCATGCGCCTCCCCGACGTTTTCAGTTCTGGCGGGCCCGAATGCTCCAAACAGGAACCCTCGGCCATAAGTGGTCGGGCACATTCCGAGCCATGCGGCGCGCGACATGCAGCGCTGCTCACGCCCGAGAAACGTTCGCACCATCGATAATCGCATCGTTAACATCGAGCTGGAACCCAATGTTTAAACAGCACCTACGCGTAGAACGGGCGCGCTCTGTCATGACAAGCAGGGGGGGCGCCCCTGGTTCACCTAGCTGTCTTCTCAGGGGGGCGCCCCGCTTCCCATGTCTGTCTATCATGGTAGCCGCCTCTTACATCGTATATCTGTCTGCTTACATTGATGCACATGTCGCCTACACTCCCTGGTTTCAGGGGGTCCTGTTGGCGTTGAACGACGGTCCGCGACGACAGCGGCAACGACGGACGACCGACCCATCGACCGCCAAACGACCCCCACACACACGCACACACACACACACACACACACACGCACACGCACACGCACACGCACACGCACACGCACACGCACACGCACACGCACACGCACACGCACACGCACACACACACACACACACAC